ACCCCTGTCTGGTGACCTGGCACCCCAGTAAGTGGCTCTGGGGCAGGGGGATGCCCACAGCCCGGTGGGGGGGGCACTCTGTTTCTCACCTAGGAGATGCTGGCCAGGCTGGAAGTAGGGCAGGTGGGGTGGAGTGACGCCACCCCGCTCCCCCCGGGGTAGGGTTACACACACAGACACCAGCCTGCCAGCCCGGCACTCGGGAAAGGTCAAAATCTGCATTGAAATGGGAGACGGGGAGAAAGCAGTGGGAGGCGGGGGAAGGGGGCAGTGCTGCGCTGGCTGTGTGCCCCCCCATCCTCGTTGGGGGGAAGGGGCTGGAAGAAGTGTCCGTGGAGGGGCCAAGGACTGGTGGGGAGGGAGCATCTATGGGTCGGGTGGTCTGGTGGATCCAGCCCTGCCCTCCCTGGTGTAGCATGGCCAAGGGGGAGAGTCGGGGAGAGCACCCCCGGCCAGCGTGAACAGCTCCCCACCCCGACTCCCTGGTGGGGGCAGCGAGAGTGCCCCCTGCTGTGTTGCTGCCAGAGTGTGCGGGGAGCCCCCGTGGGGCAGCGCTCCCTGCTTATCCCCTGTGGAGGGCACCTTGCTGGCGCTGCCCGGGGCAGCCTGCGCGGCACAGAGCCGCTTTTGTGTGTCGCTGGCCCGCAGAGGACTGCGATCAAAGCCCGGATCGGCGCAGGGGAGGACAGTTGGATTCTCTTGGCACCGCGCACAAAGCGCTCGTTAAGGGCCGGCCCTGGCCCCGGGAACAATGCCCCGATTCAGGAGGCACAACGGGAGAGCAGCCCGTCCCTCCTGTGCCGCTGTCCCAGCAGTACTGGCTCGCCCAGGCCTGGCAGCCAGCACAGGGCGAACGTCCTCACCGCAGCCCGTCCACCGCCCGCTCTGCCATTTCCCACCACTGTCCCCGCAGGAGTCAGTCTGGAGGGGACGGCGCCTCAGTGGGGGTCAGGCAGGGCAGCTCCGTCGGCCTGCTGGAAACCCTGGCTGATGCCAGCTGGAAATCTGGCCTGAAGCATTTTAGCCCCCGCAACCCCAGGCACATGTACTGACTCCCCCCAGCTTGTGAGCTTGACGGGCCATTCCCCACACCTGAGAGGGGGACGTACTCGCAAGACCCCTGTAGCTTCTGCTGCCATCTCTTGGTTGCCTTGGCAACAGTCTTAGCATGGATACAGCAAGCCCTTTGTAAGAATGAGCCGGGGCTCGTTAGTGCCTGGGACTTGCTGTATGTATGCGCTTGCTTTATGTGCAGAAGGTTGTTAACCTCTGGAACTTGCTGCAGCAGGATACGCTGGAAGCTGAGGGAGGCTCTAGTGGCTAGAGCACCAAACTGGGTTCTAATCCCATTTTGACCACCCGCCCGCTGGGTGACCCTGGGCACGTCATTGCATCTCTTTGTGCCTCAGATTCCATCTGTAAAATGGCCTGAAATATCGGCCTCCTTTGTAAGGTGCATTGAGATCGACGGATGGCAAGCACCGGAGAAGAGCTAGGGGTTGTACATTTCTGTGACTAGCCCTGGCATATGCCAGGATGCTGGTGAGGATGCTAGGGACAGCTTGAGGGCGCCATCAGATCAGCTGCTGGGGTTCCAGGGCCGAATCCTGTGAAGCACTGCAGAGCTGGGGGTGTTTTCTGGGGGCTTACGGCTTCCTCTGAAACATCCTGCCCCAACACTGGGGAGCTCTGCCGTCTGCCTGGGATGGCGACGGGGTGGGATGCCAGGCTGTTGGTCCCTTGGCCAGGGCCCTTCCCAGCTGCGCTCATGTGCCTCGCCTGGCCGGGCTGGTGGCTGCTGATCAGATTACACTGAGCCCCGGCCAAGAGGCTCTGAGGACGGTTTTGTTCTCTCCTTGCTCTGAAACCCAACCGGAGCCTCGTTCCCACCCGTTCAAAGAGGAACCTGATGCCAGGCGGCAGCGCTCGGGGGTGCGGCTGCATTTCCAGGGGAACCGCCCCCGGAGCTGGACCTGGGGCGATAGCCACTGGGCTCGCCTGGCCCTTGGCCTCCAGCTTTTCCCAGCTGCCACTGGGGTGGTGCATGCAAGTGGAGTGGATTCCTGGACCTAGAGCCATCGGGGATCCCCCCATCCCATCCCATCCCCCTGCATTTCCTCCTTATTTCAGTGCTCTGGGCAATCTGCCTCGCTGGGCTCCCCACAACGGACCCAGGCACAGCCAGGCCCCCTAAGCCACCCCCTCCAGAGCCAGCCTCCGCCTTCCTGAAGAACGGCTTATCTCCTCCCGTGGGGCCTCAGCAAACAGCCAGGTGCCTTGTGAATGGGGAGGGATGTCCCAGCAGCGAGTATGGGCCTGTCCTCTCCGCCGCAGCCCTGGGCCGCGCCCGGGAGCAGGAGCCGGGGGCAGCGGAGGACAAAGGAGGATAAATGTTTCCCTGGCGGGGGCTGGGTGGGTGAGGAACACTGGGTAACGCACAGAGCCCGCAGCCCCTGGCACTCGCCTCTGGATTCTGTGTGGCTCGTGCTGGACCAGGGAGCCCAGCTCTGCCCCTTGCTGTTGCCCCTCAGTCCTGACCTCGCACCCTCCGGCCCCAGCTCTGCTGGGGACCCGCAGCCCCCTGCAATCCCCGCCCTTGTTCTCCCCTGCATGCTGCCATCTGGAAAGCGGAGCTGCTGCTCCAGAGCCCTGACTCGGTTCCACCACCCAGCTGTAGCGGTGTCTCCCCAGCCGACACCTGAGACCCAGCTAATCTTTAAATAAAGGCCACTCCGGCAAACCTAATCTCCTAGCTCCCCTGAGAGAGCCGCAGTGACATTAACCTGCGGGCCCAGTTCCCGGGTGACCCCCATTCAGGAGCAGGGAGGTCTCTGGCTAGCGTTCCCTGGGGAGCGCGGAGACCGTCTCCTTCGGGATCTGCCTTCTCCATTTGTCCCTGCTGGGGGGAGAGGCCAAAGCAGAGGTCGGTCCCTGCTAGACAATCCGTACCCCGTACATGCCTGCAGAGATCTCCCCGGAGTGCAGCTGAGCTCCAGGTTAGCGCCGTCTAATTGCCAGCCGAGCCCCCAGGGGCCAGCCCGTCTCACATCTCTGAATCAGGTCAGTTATTAAAAGGCTGCAAACCCTGAGCCCCCAGGGGAGGGTAGCAGCAAACAGAGACTGAGAGAGGGAAGGGCAGGAGCTGTACCAGGGCGGGGGGCACCATGGAGCTGGGAGTTGTGCTAAGGTGGGGTGGGGAGGGGTGATGGAGCCGTGAGCCATGCCGGGGTGGGAGGTGTGATGGAGCCATGCCAGGGCAGGAGGCGTGATGGAGCTGGGAGCCATGCCAGGGTGGGGGGCATGGCGGAGCTGGGAGCTGAACCAGGGCAGGGGGTGATGGAGCCATGCCAGGGCGGGGGGCATGACAGAGCCGGGAACCCAGCCATCACGGAGGGCATGATGGAGCCGGCTGTCACATGGCGCTCCCCTGATGTCAGCAGTGAAGCTGGCTGGGGAATGGTCAGCAGAACAGATCCCCCTCGGAAAACACCTTTTTGACTAAACCAATTTTTTTTTTTCAAACTTGTGTCTGTTTTGACAAAAAATTCATTTTGGAAAATGTGGGGGGAGAAGCTTCGACCAAAGCAACACGTCCTGCTTTGCCGGGTCTGGAACCAGAGGTTCCAGGGTTTGTTTTCAAAAGGACGTTTCATTTGGAAAGTGACTGTGTTTTTTATATATATAAACCAAATGTAACATTAAAACATGGCCAATATGGAAACAAACCATTTGGATTGACCCCAGATTGGGGCAGCACCACTTCCCAGGCCACGCAGCCCCCAGCTGGCCCCTCCCCCTGGCTTGCGGCCTCGGGGTGTCTCAGCCTGTTGGGGAGTCTCTTGGGTCAGGGACTCTCCAGGAGGTGCAATCCCGGAGTCACAGGGAGCTGCTTACCCGCCGCAGAGCGGAATGGCCCCCTGCCCCAGCCGGCCCCCCTGGGAGATGGTCTCTGCCCAGCCTGGTCAGTGGGGCAGGCCGGGGGCTGTCCCAGAGACCCAGTGGAGGTTCGTTTCGCTGCCATCCTGTTGTAGAAGGTGCATGACAGCCCAGCGCATGCCGCAGCCCAGGTGCCAGCCTCTCGCCATCCCTCGTCCCCCCGACTGCTGCAACGGGACACGCGGCTTCCCAAGGAGAGTGCGAGTCGCAGCGTGTGGGGCAGGCAGGCCTGATCCCAGGGATGCCCAGGAAAGGAGGCTGGCATGTGGCCACGCCCCGCTGACCCCGGCACCCGGTGTCCCGGCAGGTGGTGGTGCTCATGGACCCCATGGAGGACCCCGAGGACATCCTGCGAGCCAACCGCTCCCGCGAGAAATCCTACGTCTTTGACGTGGCCTTCGACTTCACGGCAACTCAGGTGAGGAGCTGGGCCCTGGGAATCCTGCCGGGCTCCAAACCCTTCGTATGGGCCGCCCAGCCCCGAGTCTGCAGGATGTGGGGGGCCTTGCTATCCCAGCATCCTCTGCCCCCGCCCTGCCCACTCCCCATCTGTGCGACACAGCGGCCGGGCAGCGGGGCTGGGCCAGGCCAGGCCTTGGGTCTGGTTTCAGCAGCTCCATTTCATGCTAATTTCCACAGTACGCTGACACCGGAGAGGCTGCCCCCATCAAATGCCCCCCGCTCCCTTCTGACAGCCAAGACAAGGGGGGGCAGGGAGAGCGTGGGGGGGGGGGTACCGTGCATCCCCTCTCCTCCAATGCCCAGAGACCAGCCCTTCAGCAGGTTTCTGAGCCCCTCGTTGGCCCTGGGTGGCGGGGAAGGGGATTGGAACTCATCTAGTGGATGGAATCAGAGCTGCCCCGCTGTGTGTCAGCAGCCCTATACTGCTCCCCGTTAGTGGCGATTCTCCTGCACCTTGGGTGGCAGGAGCCAAGGCATGGGGCCCAGGAGGGTCTGAGCTCTGTCTCTGCGCGCTGGGTCTGTCCCAGCACACCGGGGGTGGCTGCATGCGGGTGGGTGAGTAGAGCAGGGGAAAGGTCAGTGAAAGCGGCTGGACAGCGGGGGAGGGGCCTGGGACCGGGGGGAGGCTGGATGGTACACACGCACCCCACATTTTCAGTTGAGGGGGGTTGGTCCAAGGTAATTGCCTTGGTGTTGTGGAGGGGGGAGGTGACAGGACACGGGGTGGCAGGGGGGCGAATCCTGACATGTCTGTCTGCGCCGCCTCCCCGCCCGGGGCCTGTCACCCTCCCGCGCTCTCTGGCTGCAGGAGATGGTCTATCGCGCCACCACCAAGGGCCTGATCGAAGGCGTCATCTCCGGGTACAACGCCACTGTCTTCGCCTACGGCCCCACCGGTAAGGGCCGCGCGGCGCTGGGAACGCTCGCCCGCAGGGGCCGAGGCAGGGAGCCGAACGGGCCAGTCGCCACCCGCTCCTCTGGCCAGGATGGCGGCATTTCAGCCTTGCCACTGGGGTGGCAGGAGGGCAGGGTCTGGGAGGGACCCAGGGCCTGCGGGCCCCCAGCCCTGACACTGCTAAGGAGTCGGCTCAGAGCCACAAAGGGGAGGGGGCAGCATGAAGCAGGTGTCCACAGGGGATGCCTGCGAGCCACGGGTGGCTGGGTCCCCACCCCGCCCGGCATGGACCCGCGTGGGGGATGCCCCGTCCCCTCCCCGCCCAACACGGACCCCCGGGGGATGCCCCGTCCCCTCCCCGCCCGGCACGGACCTACGAGAGATGCCCTGTCGCCACCCCGCCCGGCACGGACCCACGGGAGATGCCCTGTCCCCACCCTGCCCGGCACAGACCCACAGGGTCCCCTGCCCCGCAGAGAGCCCAGACTGCCTTCCTGCCGCCCCCCCAGGCTGTGGGAAGACATACACCATGCTGGGCACAGACCACGAGCCTGGCATCTACGCACGCACCCTCCACGACCTGTTCAGAGCCATTGAGGAGACCAGCGACGACATGGAGTACGAGGTGTCCATGTCCTACCTCGAGGTAAGACCCGAGTGTGTAAGGACAGGCAGGTTGTGTGTGTATGGTGTGTGGTGCTAATACAGGGTGTATCTGTATTATGTGTGTGTGTATATGGACAGGCGGGTTGTGTGTGTATGGTGTGTGTGGTGCTCATACAGGGTGTGTTGTATAGTGTGTTTGTGTATGGACAGGTGGGTTGTGTGTGTATGGTGCTCATACAGGTTGTGTCTGTATATTGTGTGTGGTGCTCATACAGGGTGTATTGTGTAGTGTGTGTGGACAGGCGGGTTGTGTGTGTGGTGCTCATACACAGTGCATAGTGTGTGTGCACGCGTGCGTACAGACAGGCGAGTGGGGTGTGTAATGTGCATTCGTGTGTATGATCTGGAAGGTGCCAGGGACTGCGGGGACTTGGCTTCCCCTTCCCCCAGCTCACGCGGAGCCCCTGGGGTCGACCCGCCTCCCCTGCCCATCTCAGTCGCCCGGCTTTGTGGTCCAGCGAGCACGCGCTCTGTGCCCAGCAGGCAGATAATCGCCATGGTAACGCGCGGGGACTCCTCCGCCAGCTCGCTGCCTGCACGGGCTAGTACAATATTGACACACGCAGCCAGGCTGCCGGGGAGGAACCACCCACAAAGACTCCCTGGGAGCCAGGCAACCGGGTCGGGGCGGCCGAGAGGATAAATATCCGGGAGCGGGGCCTGGGCAGGGACCGGGGGCGCGCCCAGCTCCCTCGTGCAGCCGGGACCCGGCCCAGTCCTGCCACCGGCCTGGTCCAGAGGGGCAGGGCTGAGGGCAGCGTGCCAGCTCCTGGAGCCAGGGCTGCTACAGGGCAGGGTGGGGAGCAGACGCTGGGCCTGGGGGGAGCTCACAGGTGCCAAGGAGCAGAGGACGCTCATGTTCCTTCTCTGAGCGATTCACCCCTAGTAGTGTGGGGGGTTGGGAGCCAGACCCAGGCCGGGGCCCTGGAGCCTCTAAAGCCATCAGCCAGCGGTGCCCAGCGTGCCTGGGTGCAGACGCTGGCGGGCATGGGCGCTCACACGCAGCACTCGCCAGCTGCTATCAGTGTCCTGGCCCTTCCCTGCATATTAGCTGCATTTCCCGGCTGCCGCCTGGCGCTCTGCCTGGCCCCCCGAAGGAGGGGGTGCCCTCGGCTTGGGGGAAGGTGAGGCCCCTCCTCGGCATGTCCCACGCTGGCCCCACTGTGGGCCCCAGAGTGGCAGGGCTTGATCCCAAGAACCAGGCAGCCAGGGCTGATGGGGAGCGAAGGCAGGCTGACTGTGGAGGGTGCATTGGGCTCCCTGGTGATCTGCTGCAGCCCGGATGGGTGGGGTGGGGAGGCTGGCATGGGGAGGCCCCAAGGTGGTGCCCCTGCAGCTGGCACGGGATGGCTCATCCCTGCCATGGCCAAAGGCATGGGGGGGGCGTTGTTTGGCTGCCGCTCTCCCTCCCCCGTGCCGACCCCCACCCGCTTGTGCCTTCCCACCATGACTAGATCTACAACGAGATGATCCGGGACCTGCTCAACCCGTCGCTGGGCTTCTTGGAGCTGCGGGAGGATGCCAAGGGAGTGATCCAGGTGGCGGGGATCACAGAAGTCTCCACCATCAACGCCAAGGAGGTGAGCGTGGGGCACAGACCCTGGTACGACTTTCGATCCTGCAGCTCCCCCGCTCAGCACAGCCTCTCCTGGCCCCGAGCGTAGGAGCCTAGAGACTTGCCCCATGCCTGGGTGCCGGGCCAGCGGAGCTGGGTCTGGACGAGCCGTGGTTCGGCTGTTGGCCATGGGCGCCCTGGCCTGCAGTCCCCTCCTCCGAGTCCTGTCAGCGCGCTGTCCCGGCGCGGCCCCACAGCCTGGCACGGTGCTGAAGTGACATCCTGCGAAGGGGGGACCCAGGGTCCCTGTTTGGGCGCCGGCGGGGCGTGTACTGACCTGGCGTGCTCGGCTGGGGGACGGAGGGGAATGAACATCCAGGGACACAGGCTGGATGTGCTGCAGGGGTGCCCAGCAGTGACGCGAGGCTGCCACGGGCAGCGGGGTGCTGGAGGGACTGGGTGGCAGAGCGACCGTCCGTGTCCCGCTCTGCCCCTCTCTCGCCCCGCCCACCGTCTCCCTCTCGCCCCCTTGCCACCCCGCAGATCATGCAGCTGCTGCTGAAGGGGAACAAGCAGCGGATGCAGGAGCCCACGGCCGCCAACCAGACGTCGTCGCGGTCCCACGCCGTGCTGCAGGTCACCGTCCGCCAGAAGAGCCGCATCAAGAACATCATGCAGGAGGTGCGGGTGGGGCGGCTCTTCATGATCGACCTGGCTGGCTCCGAGAGGGCGTCTCAGGTACGGAGAGCGGGTTCCGGGGGGAACCCGGCGGTGCCAGCGGCCGGGCGGTGCAGGGGGAGCACAGTTCCTCGCACCGTGGGTTCGAGGGGCAACAGGAGGGTGGGCGTACAGAGATGTGGGCAGGCTCTCGGATGGGGTGGAGAGGCTCAGCCCGGGTGCTGCAGCACGTTTTGTGCTGGGGACGTGGCAGTTGCATGATGCACTGAGGGGACGTGGTCTGGGGCCGGGAGCCAGGATGGTGGGGTTCTAATCCCAGTCCTGCTGCAGCCTGGCCGTGCGGCCGCGGTCGAGCCACGTCCCCTGGCTGCATCTGTGAGACGGGGCCGGGGACCTGCCCTGCAAGCTTTGCAGATCTCAGCGAGGGGGTCACTGAGGCCAGGAGACAGGCTCTGACACAATCAGTCGCTGAAGGGAAGGTTCAGGGGCTCCCCCCCCAATTGCCAGAGCCCCCCAACTCTGCAGCGTGGGGCTGGCCCCTCCATGTCCTAAATGGAGAGAGAGGGAATGTGTGAAAGGCAGGGCAGAGAACCCATCCCTTGCCCGGGAAGCTTGGTCTAGGTCGGACGTCCCCCGTGTGCTGTGCTGTGCTGCTGGTACACAGCTGCCAGTCTCTGGGCACAGGCGAGCCAGGGCTGGACTAGCAGGGGGCAGTGAGTCGGAACTGAGAGGCACCGGCACAGCTGGGTGATGGACCAGGAGTAGGTCAGGCTCACGGGCATGATAACACATGCGCTGCCTCCCGCTTGGTGTGCCAGCAATGGATACCTTCAGCTCCTAGATACCGCGGTGATTGGCGCTTCCAGGGGGCCGTGGGTCAGACTGTATGTTTGACGGGTGCTGGGGCTTTGGGGCTGGATTAGTCCTGGGGCGTAGGGCCCCCATGTGTCACGGTCCCAGGCGACTTCGTGTGCCGGGTTCGTCTGCAGGCTGTGTTCCCCGGGGCTGCGTGGGGGACTGGAGTCCTCGTTCCTGGATCCGCTCTGCCCACGCAGTCCTGGTGCCAGGCAGAACAATGGACTTCACCAGCTGGTGCTGCCTGGGTTTAGTCAAGCTCGCAGCGCCCCCTAGTGCCCCAGGCTTGGGATTAGCCCTCTAGACCAATCCCCTTTTCCACACTCCATTTACTGGGCACAGCATGTATTTCAGGGGGGCTCTGGCGGTTTCCCGTAGGGGGCCAGGTCAGATGCCTGGACTCCTGGCTGGTTCGTGTTGTAACTTCACCTGTGGCTTGTGGTAAGATGGCACCTGCGGGGCAGTGCCAGCACTGGGTTAGGAGAGGTTCTGTTTCAGAAGTGCTGCCCGTAAGCAGTGGGCTGGCACTGCGCACTGGGGTCTGCTAGAGGTGCTTGCGTGTATTGGTGTGTTGTAGGGTCGTTTGTGGGCACTGGGCTGTGCACACTGATTTGTTATTGTAGGGTTGCTTGTGTGTATTAATTTGTTGTTGTAGGGTCGTTCATGGGCACTGGTTTGTTGTTGTAGGGTCGCTTGTTTGCACTGGCTTGTTGCTCAGAGCTGGGCTGTTGCCTTTGATTTTCTCTCCTTTAAAAAAGAAAAAGGCCATTTAAGCAGGGAGGGGCAAACAGCCGAACACCCCTAGTCACGAGCGCTTTGCCAGTGGAGGATGGGGCCCTTGGCCGCGCCATGCCCTGCAGGGGGTGCTGGCGGGGGCTCTTGTGTGGCCAGCACGGTAGGTACAGAACCCGCGCCCTGCGCCACGCCTTCCCCGATGCCCGTGCAGCCCCTGTCACTCTGCCGGGCGTTCTCATGGCCAAGCCGACTCCTCCGTGTGCTGCTTGGCGCCCGCGAGCCGGGGTGTAATCCGGGCTCAGGCGTGGCCATGCACAAAGCCCCGCGTGCCCCTCCCCCAAAGCCCCGAATCCCTGCCTCACGCCCTCGCCCTGCCCCCACAGACCCAGAACCGTGGGCAGAGGATGAAGGAGGGAGCCCACATCAACCGATCGCTGCTGGCGCTGGGGAACTGCATCAACGCCCTGAGCGACAAGGGGGCCCCCAAGTACGTCAACTACCGCGACAGCAAGCTCACCCGCCTCCTGAAGGTACAGCGGGACTAGCGCCCGCCGGACCCTGGGCCAGGGCAGGGCGATCGGCAGCCCCTTGGAGCGGGCACCGGACCAAGCCAAGGGCAGTTGGGTGCAGGCCGGGAGAGGGGACCCAGGGCTGGAGCATCCAGCATGGGTCACACGGCATCAGCTCTGCACGGCTCAGCCTGGCCCACGTCAGCCAGGGTGCAGTACATGCTGGGAGGTCGGACCACCGATGTGTGGCCAAGGGGCTAGCACAGCGCGGGCCCAGAGCACCAGGCTGGGGATGAGCAGACAGGCCTGGTCCCCGCTCGTTCCAGGGCAGGGGCTGGGAATAGGGCTGCAGCCTCCGGCCCCGGCAAACACCCAGTCCCACGATCCTCTGCCACCAGGACTCCCTCGGGGGCAACAGCCGCACGGTCATGATCGCGCACATCAGCCCGGCCAGCAGTGCCTTCGAGGAGTCCCGCAGCACCCTCACCTATGCCGACCGCGCCAAGAGCATCAAAACCACGGTACGGCTGGGACCTGGCCCCCCCACCCGGCGCCCCGCCTACCCTTCCCCTCATCCGGCGCCCCGCCCTCTGTCCACCCTCACCGGGCACCCCGCCCTCTGTCCCCTCACCCGGCACCCCGCCCTCCATCCCCTCACCCGGCACCCCGCGCTCCGTCCTTTCACTCAGCATCCCGTCCCAGGGCACCTGGTGCCCTGCCATCCCTTCCCCCACTCTGTGCCCCAATCCTCCCCCACACCCAGCATCCTGATCCTCCCCCTCGCCTGGGCACACAGCACGCCGCCCTCCTGCCTTCTAGGAGAGACCTCTCATCCCTCTTCCCCAGGAGCGGTCGGGGTGTGGTGCTGGTGGGGATCACCTCCCCGACGCGCTGACCCTTCGCCCCCTGTCTCTGCAGGTGAAGCGGAACCTGCTCAATGTCTCGTACCACATTGCCCAGTACACCAGCATCATCTCGGACCTGCGCAGCGAGATCCAGCGCCTCAAGTGCAAGATCGACTCGCAGGGGCCGCGCCCGGCCCGAGGCGAGCGGGGCGACATCCGCCACATCCAAGGTAACGCCCGCGGGGCCAGCCCTCCCCGCTGCCAGGCCCGCCACCGCTCATGGGGCACGGGCTGCGCCTGGCCCGATCACACTGCCCTCTCCGTGCCACACCGAGCTGGCACCACTCCCTGCTGCCGCCAGAGCCAAGTGCTGGGCTCCCAGCCATGACTCCTCCCCGGCGGAGGGCACCTGGGCGGCCACGCCCCCTCCCCGGCGGAGGGCACCTGGGTGGCCGCGCCCCCTCCCCGGCGGAGGGGGGTTCTGATGACCCAGGAGGGATCCCTGCATGCCCCCGTGCGTGTGGTGTCCCAGGGACGGCGGCTGCTCTGTACGTGCCATATCCGGCAGGAGGCGCCCCCACGGTGACCAAACCCACCCCTGGTGTGTTACAGCCGAGGTGCAGCTCCACAGCTCCCTCTGCGACCGGCAGGAGATGGACCAGCTGCGGGAACAGCTGATCGGCGCCTTCCAGGAGCAGATGGACGTGCGGCGCCAGCTGATGGAGCTGGAGAACAGCTCCATGGAGCTCCAAATCGAGAGCACCCGGCACCTGCTGACCATTGCAGAGTAAGCACGGCCCTGCCCAGCCCCCCAGAGAGCCGGGGTGTCACTGGGGCTCCAGGAAACCTCCCCCCTCCCTGTATAATAGAACTGGCCTGGGCGTATTGGGGAGATCGCCCTGGCTCAGCAGCCGGCGGGGGCTGGTCAGTATAGCCAGGTAATGCCCAGCCAGGTTTACTGCCCTGTGTCAGTGGGCGAGGAGCGCCACGTGTCAGCAGTTGGGCATAGCCCGGGGTCCAGGGGCCTGCCCTCTGCCAGCGACTGACGCTCGCGCTCTCCCCTGGCGGCTCCAGCTGGGACCAGGAGAAGAGGCGCCGCGCCCAGAAGTGCAGGGAGGAGCTGAGGAAGGACGAGAGCGAGAAGGATTCAGACACCGGGGACGAGCAGCCGGACGCGCCGGAGCCGCAGGACGTGATCTCGGCCAGGGAGAACATCGCCGCCCTCATGGGGGAGCAGAAGAAGCTGCGCAAGCAAAAGGTTCCTGGGGTGGGGGGGGGGGGGGGGGGGCCGGGGGGGGAGGGGGGGGGGGGAGGGGGATTTGGGGCCTGATGGGGGGGAAATGAGTTTGGTGGGTCTCAGCCCAGTGCTGGGTGCCCCCACCCCACCGCTCGATTGGCATCAGCTGTTGTGACTGCCAGATTCTGGTCAGAATTGGTCCGGGCTGGGATAGCAGGGGGCTGCGGGTCGGGATTGAGGGGCACTAGCAGAGCTGTGGGGGCTGCAGTGGGTCAGAATTGAGGGGCACTGGCAGAGCTGGAGGGTGGGGAGCCCAGAGGTGGCCAAGCAGGGGGCTGCGGGTCGGTATTGAGGGGCACCGGCAGAGGTATGGGGAGCCCAGGGCTGGGCTAGCAGGGGCTGTGGGTTGGGACCGAGGGGCACCAGCAGAGCTGGGTGTGGGGCGCCCAGGGCTGGGCAAGCCGGGGTCCATCTGGCCAGGGGTCCAGTCCATGCCATTGTGACCCCTTGGGAAGGGCAGGCCCGTGACGCGGGGCCCTGGGCTGCTCTGCCCCCGCAGGCGGAGCTGGAGAAGCGGTTCAAGGAGATCCGCCAGCGGGGGCGGCGGCTGGAGGAGGTGCTGCCGCGGCGCATCAGCTCGGAGGAGCAGCGCGAGGTGCTGAGCCTGCTCTGCAAGGTGCATGAGCTGGAGCTGGAGAACACGGAGATGCAGTCCAGCGCCCTGCTCAAGGACAACGTCATCCGCCACAAGAACTACGTGGTGCGGCGCTTCGAGCAGCACCGCAGCCTCTGCGACCGCATCATCCAGCAGCAGAGGCAGATCATCCACGGTGTGGGACACCCCCCCTCTGGGCTGGGGGACCCTGGGAGGGGCGGGGGGCTCTGCGGGGCCCTGGGGCCGGTGCCGTGGGGTCACATCGCAACGCGACGCTGTCGTGACGTGCTGAGGCCATCACGGCAGCGTGAGCCCGCGTCGCAATGGGCTGCTGCCGTGTCATGCCATGGCGAGGCTGTGTTGCCATGCAACGGGGCTATGTCGTGGTGATGTCATGTCGCAACGTGATCATGTCATCTCGAGCGCCCCCGTCTCCTCCTGGCCTGGCCCGAGCCCCTTCCCCCCCGGGCTCGCCTCTGGCCCAGGGACCTGTGTGTCCGGATTAATGCAGGGCTGGGGGCCCTGTGTAGGTATGGGGGTGCTCCCCTAAGTCTGTGACACCCCCCCTTCCATCTACTCCTCTCCCTGGCAGAATATCACCTCTCGGTCCCGCACCACCTGGAGGAGCTGTATGAGATCTACCTGCGGGAGCTGGAGGAGGGCAGCCTGGACCGGGTCACCAGCCTGGACCGCGTGGCCGCCAAAGCCCTGAAGGTACCTGTGGGGGGCGCTGGTCCGTCCCTCTCGGCTCACACCCCATGGGGTCCGGACATCGCTCCGCCCCTTGGAAACAGAGCGGGTCCCTGGGTGCTCTCTGGGCCCTCACGTACCCTGGCCCAGGAGGGGGTGACCAGCTGCAACCTGGGCAAAATGAGTGCTGCTTCCAGCCCCCAGATGTGCAGCACACACAGTGGGGAGCTGGGGGGGCCTGGGTGTTGGGAGGAGGCAATCAGAGAGCAAGGTAATTTTCCAGGGGAGGGGGTTGGGGGGCTCACTATGGAGGGGTTCCCTCTAGCCCCAAAGAGCCAATCCACCAGTGAGTGAAGGGCAGAGAAGCTGCAGCCAGCGGGCTGTGTCCTGCAGCGCCCCCCAGGGGACCCCTAATCGGCAGGGCAGCTGGGCTGGGCGTAACAGCAGCTGATTCCCCCGCAGGACACGTCTCTGCCCAAGATCCCCCAGCTCCCGGCTGCAGAGAGCGCCCTGGACTCCGACCAGGAGAGCGTGAGGACGCTGGGCTCGGAGCACCAGCTGCTGCTGCAGCGCGACTCCCGCAGGCACGCCCTGCCGCCCCTCGTGCCGGACGCAGAGAGGTAGGGCCTCGCCTGGGGGCAGGAGGGGCCGAGCGCCACACGTCCGGCCCAGGGAGAGTCCAGCACACGTGGGTGTCTGTGTTTAGGACCCAGCCCCGGGCTCTGGCTGCCCGTGATCCTGGGGCAGCACGAGCGGCTGGATGCAGCAGGTGGGCAGAGAGGAGGCTGCCGGGCTCAGCTAGGCCCAAAGGGGAAGAGCCGGGGGGGTTAAGAGGCCACGTTTAGAGCAAAGGGAACCTCCTCGGTGCCCCTTCAGCCACAGCCCTTCCCTGGTGTGTGGGGCTGGGAGGAGAAATGGACACTGAGTCAGCGACGTTTTTGTCCTGTTCCCCCGAGCGCAGTAGGCAGCTTCCTAGCTCAGAAACCCCCACGGCTGCCCCTCCTGCCGCTCTGTGCCCAAGTAGCTCTGTCTCTGCTTCCCACCCGTGTCACGCCACTGCTTCTCCTGGCCTCCTGCTGCAACGCCCGGCTGCAACCCACGGCCTAGTCCCGCGTTTGCAGCTAGGGAAATGTCTGTCCATGCGGCTTGGCTCTGCCCTGCCACGCGGCAGCTCCAGTTTGCTGCTGCCTTTGCTAGATACGTGGGCTTGACTGCTCCTCCTTGAGCCTGCATTGGGGCAGCTGGCAGATCCATTGGCTTTCCTGAGGCCTGGGCTGGGCTTTGGATCCAAGACTCCACCGATGGGAGCCATTAGCCGCTTTCAGCACAGCATCCCGTGCGTGTGAATTCACACCGTGTCTCCGCTCTGGGTGTGACGGGCGTCTGTCCCTCTCCGGCAGCGACCCGGCCCAGGTGTTCAGGACCAGCCCTCGGGTGCGGCAGATCAAGAGTTCGGCTGTGCTGACCCCGCCCCCGATCCACGTGAACGGCATGGTGACCCAAGAGGTGCGTGGGGCAGCGTGGGAAAGGCCCCGGTGTGGGAGGTGCCGGGGGCCCAGGGCACGGACGCACCTCTGTGAAAGGCAGCGTTGACTGGTAGCTGGAGCGCTGCACAGAGCCAGGAGTCCTGGGGCTACTCCCAGCTCCGCCACTGGCCTTCTGGGTGACCTTGGGCAAGTCACTGTGCCTCGGTTTCCGCCTTGTCAGCCTGGGCTCTTTGGCTCTTTGGGGCAGGAGTTGTTCCTCACTGTCTGTGCAGAACCCGCCCCCCGGGGCTCTGAGCTCGACAACGGTTACCGAGTGTGGGTGATTCATAACCGAAAAATCCAATGGAAACCTGGCCAGATGCCGCTCCCGCTGCCTGGCGTCAGGCTGGGGTTGCTCTGGGTTTACCCTGGGCAGGGCTGGGCTCTGGGCTTTTTACCGCCTTTCTGCCCTGCCCTGCCCTCGCCGATCCTATCCCAGCCCGAGCTGGCAGGCAGCGAGTGCAGAGCAGCGCCCTTTGCTAGCAGGTATTTCTGCCACAGGCAGCAGCCAGATGCGCTCACCTCCCGTCTCTCCCCCAGTACCTGCACCGGGGGAGCCTGGCCAGCCTGGAGAGCCACCCCAACTCCTCCCCGGACAGCAGCGAGAACTGCTCGGACGTCGCCCTGACGCGCAGAGGTGAGGAGCTCTCGGCGCGGGGTGGGGCCCGGTTGCACCGTCACCTCCTCTCTGGGGAAGGGAAGGCACAGACGGTGCCAGGACGGTGGCAAACAGCTCCCGCCGCCCACGCTGGGGCCTCTTAGAGCCCCCCGAGCCCTAAGGGTCAGGGGCTTCTGGGTAACGTGGGGGTGGGGTTGTGTCCTGCACGCTGTCCCCATCTGGGACGCTCTTAGGTTCGGTTTGGGGCCATCCCATTCCAAGGCCCCCAGACTCTGGGGAAATAGGGGGCTGGGCAGGGAGCCTCAGGCCCCCAGCATGGTACAGACTATGACGTGTAGCGGTGCCGGCCCAGGCACACCAGCTGCAGTGTCTGGCCCAGGCCTTAGCAATGGGCCATCTCCCTCCCCTCCCCAACCCCGCCCGTCTGATCACAGCCACGGAGCCAACGCAGGGTCCAGGGTAGCCGGTGCTACGCCCCCCTCCACAAAATGCTACTGCAGCTCACAGAGCCCTGGGGGGATGGATCTCTTCCCTGATGTGGGCTGTCTGCCCTCCGGGCGTTAGGGGCACTGCGGGCACGGTGAAGATGAGGCTGAGGGTACGATGCTTCCAGTTTGCAGATCCGGGTAGGGGGTTCATGGAGGGGCCCAACCACCCCCACCCCCGATCTGGACCATGCGACTGGGGGGGCCCCTCACTCTCTCACGCCGGCGCCCGCTCTTTGCAGAGCGCAGGGAGATCCTGAGCAGCACCAAGAGCATTGCGGTGAAGGCTGCCCGGCGCCGCTCCCGGGTGCTGGAGTCCGACCGGCTGCACCTGCTGGAGCCCATGAAGGAGCGGAGCAGCCTGTCGCTGCACTCCCTGAGCGAGAGCGAAGACCCCCTCTCCCCGGAGACCCCCGCCTCCCGGCGCCCGCCCTGCCCCGGCCTGCAGCATGCCGCCAGCGAGGACAACCTGTCCAGCAGCACCGGGGAGACGGCCTCGCGGGCCGAGGGCCTCCGCCCCAGCCACTCCCCCGGGCCCTGGCTCCGGGGGCACAAGAAGGGCGGCAAGAAGCTGGGGAAGAGGGAGGAGTCGCTGGACGGCAAAAGGCGGAAGCGACGGTCTAGGTCCTTCGAGGTCACCGGCCACGGGGTATGTGCCGTCCCCACGCCAGCCGATCCCCGAGGAGCCCCTCTGGGGCCAGCCCCCCAGCACCCGCGCTAGCAGAGCGGGTCTGCGTGGACTCCCGGGGGAGGGGCTGGGGCTGTGCGTTTGGGGGTGGGGGCCAGGTGCCAGGCAGGCAGGGATGAGCCTGTGGCTTACCCACAATGCACTGCATGCTGGGCTCCCTTTGGGGGGAGCTGTAACCCTGGATCCGAGGCTCAGGGTTTGGGATCCAGGTCCCAGGGCTCTGGCAAGTCACCGAGCTGCCCCCTGGTTTGAGCTTTGCCCCCGAGCCGCTGTGACCGTTTCTCCCCCTCCCCCGCAGCTCCCAGGACCGAAGCCCAACGTAACTCGGTGCCGCCCCCTCGAGAGCAACTCTGAGCACAGGATGCCGGCGGGGGGGCCGCCGGCGCCGCACCCCCGGGCGCCTGGCAAAGCCAAAGGGAGGCTCCCGCAGAGCCAGCATGCAGGTGGGTGAGCCTGCCAGGGCATCCCCCTCGGTGCCAGTGGCAGCGTGCTCCAGCCCCCGGGCAGCACACGGGCATGGGGTCCCGCCTCCATTGCAGGCAGAGCGGGACCCTGGCTTGCGGCTGGTGTCCCAGGCCGGGCCCGAGCAGCCCCCTCAGCCCCTCTCTCTGCTCACACACCGGGCACTGCCCAGCCCACAGCAGGGCCAGCCGCTCACCCGCTGCCCTCCCAGCATCCCTCCGCCCCACCTCCGGGAGCAGCCTCCTGCTCCTTCTGCTGGCCATGCTGTGTCCACTGACGCCGCCCCCAGCCTCGGTGCCCCCAGGCCGGCGGGCGGCGAAAGCCCCAGTCCTGCCTGTCCAATCCCTCCCCCAGGACGAGCTGTGTCATGGGCCAGTTCTCTGCTCCTCCCGCAATGAGCCCTGTGGCTCTGGAAGGAGAGAACAGAAGCCAGGGACCCTTGGCACAGCAACACCCCAGGCCCTGCTAAGTCTCCCCAGCCCAGCACGGCCCTTTAAATAGGAGCTGTTTTTTCCCAGCATGCCTTGCTGGCCCTTTCTGTTTGGCTGCTACCGCCCTTGTGGCCACTTTGCCCGTCGCGTGTCCTCCTGTCCCGTGCTGAGGGCGCGGCCCATGGTGGGGAGCTGCCGTGGGACCCGGATCGGGGACGGGCTCCGCTTTGCAAACGTCTTCTGTTTGTTTCCCTCTCCCCCAGGTCCGGGGGACCCGGCGTCTCTCCCGCTCCCCCTCCCTCATCCCGGCAGCTTGAAGAAAGGCCCCCAGCCCAGCCAGCACCCCCGCCTGAGCTACATCACGCTGAACGGCACCAACGCGTACGCCAAGGACGGCAGGAGCCGGCGCTATTGACGGGCCGAGAGCAGACAGCCCCGGACTGGGAGGGCCTGGGCCTGGGCCTGGAGGCTCGGCATGCCCAGCTGCTGCAGGGCTGGTGGGGCGAGCAGGGCACGGGGGCGTGGGGGGCGGGACTCCTCTGGGCAGAGCCGGCAGGAGGAAAGGGGTTTACCAACATAGTTCTCATGGACGGACGATTCTCTCCCTCCTCCCGGCTGCCCCGCAGCCCTGGCTGCTGGAGTCTGTCTGGACACGTTCTCTCTACTCCTCCGTCCAGCCGTCTCCGCCCGGGAAGCGCTCAGACCACCGCGTCCCCCTCGCCGAGGGTTACGGGGAGCTCCCGCTGAAGAGTGGCTCGGCTGGTGGCCAGCCGCCTGTTCCCAGCAGGGCGCTCTGTTCACAGCCCCACGCCCCAGCTGCCGTGGGGCAGGTGGGGGCAATGGCGCGCCAGGCATCCCACTGACCCCGTGTGGACGGACGCCAAGCACCCATGCAGCTCAAGCCCCGTGGTTTGCTGCCCTGTGCCTTCCCTCCGGACTGCTGGTCTCGCCCACCCCTCCCACTGGCCTCCGGGCATGGGCTGGGCTCGGGGTGCCACGCTCCCTACGTACCCCAGAGCTCCCTGTGATCGCTGCCACCCATCGACACCTGCCTGCTACCCCACCGTGCCGGCTGCACTGCGCCCAGGGCTCTGCCCCACGGGTGCCCCGCACGGCCGGTCAGTGCTGCAGCTCCCTGAGGCCGCGGGGACTGATGCCCTGCCTGCACCGCCGGCCTCGGGCTTCCAGCCCCCCATGTCACTCCCTTGCTCCCCAGGGGCTGCAGATCCCAGTCCCTGGAGGGTCTCGCAGTGCTCAGCAGCACCCCCTGCTGGCAGAATAACAGCAGAACTGGCCTGTTGCAAAAGGAGTGTGGCTGGAAAGCTGGTGGCCATGAATCCGGCAGGGGGCACCCCCGGCCCTCCCTTATTGAACCCACGGTGCGTGTGCCCATCAGTGGGGAGTTCAGGGCCCCCCGGTTCTGCTCCCCCAGGGCCAGCTGCGGCTGAGGATTGTCTGCGAGTGTCTTGGGGGGGGAGGGCAGGGGGTGCCCCCAAAGTGGTCTCCTGCCCTCCCAGCTCCTGGGCTGAGGGGAGGCAGGGAGGGGATCTCCCTGGCGTGGCCAACAGGCAGGAGGCGTGTGGACCCTGGTGCTGGCTTGGTTACGCTGTAAATAAATCGTGTTGCCAAACTCTTCACCTGGCCGGGGCCCAATCCTGCCCTAGCACGGCCCACGGGACCTGCAGCGCTCAGGATCAGGCCCTGGTGTTGCAGCTGGGGTGGCACTGGATTCCAGCCAGGCCTGGGAGCCTGCAGCAGCAGGGGCTTGGGGCAGGGGGGCTCACTGCTGGGCGCAATCCAGGGGCTCTCAGCGCCTGGGTCTGGCCCATTGGCTGTGGGGCGGCTGGGGCCGCCCTGGTCTCTGTGGGTATGTCCAGGGACTCCGAACCTGGGGTTTTTACCTGGCAACATTGTTTTTTATTCCTCTTGTTAAGGCTAAATTAAAAGTGATTTGTTGAGATTCTACGGCCCGGTTCCATTGTGCTTCTGCAGCATTCGGTTGCTGGTTTTCCTTGTCTTTGGGGAGGCTGGCGCGAGTACCCAACTGGGCCCGCTCTGAGGGCCAAGCCAGCTGGCAACGAGCCCTGCGCTCTGCTCCAGCCTCTGCCACTGACTGTGTGACTTGGGCAAGTCATTTAATTCCGCTGTCTTGGCCGGCCCCTTCCACAGGGCTGGTCACCTCTCCTTGTGTCTCAGGGCGGGGTTTGCTCGCGGGTCGCTGAGTATAAAGGGTTAATAACAAGCACTACCTGTTAGACGCTAGCAGCCATGGCTAGTGTGTGTTCCGGATGGCTCCGAGGCGTTACACATGGGTATAAACAGCCCCTTGGCCCCTAACAATTGATTTAACCATTAACTGAACCATCTGTTCATCATGTATTACCCCTCCGTAAATGAGCCTTACCCCCAGGCGGGACCCGTTCCCGGCTATGCCGTGCTAGGCGAGTCTGCCCAGCGTTTGCCATGTTCACTGGGGCGGGAGCTGGGCCAGGCTGACCCGGCTGTTTTGGAAGCAATTCGGGCTCAGCGAAGCTTCCCACAGTTCAGAGCCCCCAGAATTGTGGGAACCGTTCGAACCAGAGAGAGGCGAGGGGCTCTGGCCTGGGCTAGGCAGGTCAGACTGGATCAGAAAGGCCCCAAAGCCAGAAGGGACCGGTGAGCCCCCAGGGCAGAAGGCCGGAGGTCACCCTGCTACCTGTTGTGAGCAGCGTTTCAGGCCGACATCCCGACAGAGGGAACGTCTGCGATGCTACAAGTCAGCCCCCCTGAAAGCAGCACCACCCAGAGGCTCTTTTTCGGCGGTTTATTTGGAAGCTGGTGCAAGTGGTGTTTGTCCAGGAGGCCCCGAGCATCGCCCGGGAGGCAAAGAGAAGCAGCCGGTGTCTGTCTGTCCGTCAGGTCCCTGGAAGGAGGAGAGGAGAACGCAGAGCATGCTGGGAACTCCCAGCCCGGCACGTCCCGTGATGCAGCGCAGGGGGGCTCAGAAGGTGCAGCAGAACCGGGGGGAGCCAAGTGGGGAACGTGCTGAATTCCCTCGGTTACCCCCACCAGGGTGCCCTGCACTAGCACTGCCAGGCTGGCACTCCCACCGCGCCGCCTGCCTTGGCCGGGAGCCGGGATGACTGGCCTGGAGGGACGCCCGGAGAGCCAGCGATGGGAGCGTTGGGTGGGGACTCAGCTGGTTCCCACGGTGGACCCTGCCAGTGCGGACAAGCCCTCCCTGCTCGAAGCCTGGAGTGCCAGTGTGTGTCAGACCCTCTTGGGAGCTGGGGGGCGGGTGCACGCAGCGGACAACAGAACTAGCTTTAAGGGGGCAGGGGGTGGGGGCGGAGGTTGAATTTTGAAGAGAGACACTCAGGGGCTTGGTTTTCAGTGTGCTCCCAAGGGGTGGGACCTCTTCCATTGCCTGTATCCGCAGGCTCTGACCCTCCCAGCTCCCCGAGAGCCCGGCCTGGGGGAGACGTGGCATCATGGTCGTCCCCCGCCCAGCTGCAGGGGCCCTGAAGTCGGAAGGGGCGGAGCAGGTACATCTCTGGGAACAATCTCGCTGCTTTAATTCACGTCTATCTAGGAACCCCTCCACCCCCAGCTTTGTGAGCTCAGCGGTTCTCTGCGCGGGGCACAGGCCGCCCTCTCCAGGGTCTGGGCCCAGCACGCTAGGCCAGGGGGTCAGTCCCCAGCACCTTTCCGCCTGGCTACTTCCTGACCTTGATCAGCGAGTGGTAGACAGGCTTGACAATCAGGTGCAGGTGCAGGGAGTTGTCGATCAGGTACTCGGAGGTGCGCTTCTGCAGGTCGGCGTGCGCCAGGAAATCGGCCAGCTCGTCCGTGCTCTGGTGGAAGCTGTAGGCATGTTTCACGAAGATTCGGCCCTGCTGCCGCACCCCCACCAGGACGGTCTTCTGGAAGCTGACGCCCGCGAAGTCGGAGCTGGTCATCGCCGGGGTGATCACCAGCCGGGGCCGCCCGTCCTCGATCCGGATGGACTGGATGGCTCCGGAGACAGAGTCTGAGTAGACGGGGCGCAGGCTGACGGGCAGCCAGCGCGGGGAGAAGAGGACGTTCCAGGTCACCCGCTTGCTGGCGTCGTGGTTGCTGGGGCCCAGCTGGGTTTGGAAGCTGGTGCTGCGGTCGTCGCGGGCCGGGTTGTTGATGACCCACGGGGAGCCCCAGGAGCCGGAGAGGTAGTTGCGGGGCACGAACATGCTGCAGTTGACGTCGAAGTACTTGGCGAAGTGGATGGGGGAGGCGGAGTGGAACTGGAAGGCCTGGAAGAGCAGGTCCTGGATGGCGCCGTAGTGCCGCACCATCACCGCCGACTGCTTCTGCAGGTGGAACAGGTGGCTGGGGGGGATCATGGCGTAGCGGACGGAGCGCAGCACCTTCACCACCACGGGGGCTTCGGGCTGCTTGCGGCCCACCCACTCCTCGACGGCGGTGTAGAGCTCCAGCTCGCTCTGCAGCACCAGGTCCGAGCGCTCCAGCAGCAGCGCCAGCAGCTCCGCGCTCACCGTGGCCCACTCGGCGCCGCCCATGACGGCCGAGAGGTTCCAGGCCAGGAACTGCAGGCAGCTCTCCTGCAAGCCCGCGTCCCCGATCTTCACCGCGTAGTGATACCAGCCGACCACGTGGCCCTGGCTGGACTCGCTCGCCAGGTGGCTCTTCATGTACTCAGCCACCCCGCGCTGGAGCGTGGAGACGCGGTATTTGCTAGCGAGCCGGTGCAGAGGGATGGCCTGGTGCAACAGGATGGAGATCTCCCCACAGTACAGATACCTGGGCGCAGAGACACACAACACCACCGGCATTAGCTCTCCCCACACCTCACGGGGAAGGGCAGCTCTGCTGGGGCCCCTCACTTCCGACCCACAGCCCCTGCTATCCCAGCCCTGGGTTCCCCCCGCCCACAGCTCTGCCGGTGCCCCTCACTCCCGACCCACAGCCCCTGCTATCCCAGCCCTGGGCTCCCCTCCCCCAGCTCTGCCGGTGCCCCTCACTCCCGACCCACAGCCCCTGCTATCCCAGCCCTGGGCTTCATACCCTCCAGCTCTGCCGGTGCCCCTCACTCCTGACCCACAGTCCCTGCTATCCCAGCCTTGAGTTCCCCCCACCCACAGCTCTGCCCATGCCCCTCAATCCCGACCCGCAGCCCCCTGCTAGCCCAACCCTGGGCTTCCCTCCCCCAGTTCTGCCGGTGCCCCTCACTCCTGACCCACAGCCCCTGCTATCCCAGCCCCAGGCACCCCACACAGCTGAGCCAGTGCCCCTCATTCCCGACCCACAGTCGCCTGCTATCCCAGCCTTGGACTCCCCTCCCCCAGCTCTGACAGTGCCCCTCACTCCCGACCCACTGCCCCCTGCTATCCCAGCCTTAGGTCTCTCTTTGGCATAATCTCCAATCTTTTAACTAAACAAGGGTGACCAGACAGCAAGTGTGAAAAATTGGGACAGTGGGTGGGGGGTAATAGGAGCCTATATAAGGAAAAGCCCCAAATATCGGGACTGTCCCTATAAAATCAGGACATCCGGTCCCCCTAAACTAAACGGTTGGTGTGGTCTGGGGCAGACTGGGACATCTCTGTACAGCTCCCCTAGGAGGGTTTGAGCCCAGCTCCCTGTAGCCCTGATACCCTCCCTCCCCTCTTCTCTCAGCCCCTCTGCCAGTATTTTCCTGGTTCATTTTGTGGCTGGCATCAGGCCTGTCCAGCTCTCCCTGTGCCCAGCCTCTCTCCAGACGGGGGAGTGGTGCCCGTGGCCTGGTCCCCTGTGTGAGGAGGTTCCCCCCCCCCAACCCGCCCAGGGCCGGCCGGGCCCCCCCCCCCCCCCCCCCCACACACACACCTGATGAACTTCTCGAAGAGCGCGGCGTTGTCGGCCGGCTCGTGCAGCGTCACCACGGTCTGGTTGTGCAGGAGGCTCTCGAAGGCTTCGCTCTGCAGGGCCAGGAGCAGCTGGTGGGTGTGGAAGACCTTGACCTCGTCGGAGCCGGCAGTGCGCACCCTCAGCGTGGTGTCGCTGGCGTTGCCGTTCTGCAGCAGCTCCTGCAGCCGGTGGATCAGCGCCAGCGAGTGGTTAATGGTGGCCCCGGCGGCCTCGCCGCTGAGATCTGCTTTCTGGGCTGTGCGGGGGGACAGACACGCTGAGCTGTGGCAGGAGCCCGGGTCCAGGGGCTGGGCGGGCAGGGTATGTGCAGGGGGCTGGGGGTGGTCTTGGAGAGCGGGTGCCAGGCCAGGCCGTGACGATGGGTGCTGTGGCACCTGGGGGCGATGGCTGGTGGGGGCGGGGGGAGGAGGATGGGCACAGGGGGGATGTGATGGGGGGGCTATGGGCAGGCACAGGAAGCCCCAACACAAAGTGCTGTAACCCACAGCGCCTCTGCACAGCTCGCGAAGGGTTCACGGCCCCCTGGCCCAGCCCCCCTGCAGTCCTCTAGGATGAGCTACAAACGCCCCCAAGTCAGGGCTGGAAGAGACCCAGGAGTTCATCCAGCCATTCCCCGGCCCTGGAGGACTCAGCCCGCGCCCCCCGGTGCCCTGAGAGGAGCCAGCGTGACCCGTTCTATTGCTGGGCTTGGCCTGGGTCCCAGCTGGCTCTGATCACAGGCCCTGATGCGAGTGCGGATCGAGTTTCTCGGGGGGCAGTGGGAGGAGAAACCCGCCCGGGGAGGTTATCATCGTGCTGCGAGTCCGTTCTCCCCGGACGGCTGAAGGGCCCCCTGCTCCCGAACAGCTCCTGGAAGATCAGCATAAGGTGTGCGCAGGAGGGCACGATCCGAGCCCTGGGCCGGGGACACGCGGCTCCCAACCCCCGCGGGGCTGGCTCAGGCCAGGGCGGGACTGGCAGGGGCTGGGAAATTGCCAGCTGGCCTCGGGTTCCAATTCCAGACCCGGTAGCCAGAGGCTACTCGACTCTGGGGCTTCGGTGCCGCACCCTTCCCCTGGGTAGCCCACTTGAGCTGCGGGGAACCCCCTTGCAAGAAGAAATGGCTTAAGCAGCTGGCCTGTTCCCAGAGGAGCTCAGTCTCTTGCACTGGCCACTGGCTCACTAGCCGCCCAGCCCGTGGAGTGACTGGGAGCACGGCACACACTTCTGCTGCCCCCCAAGTGCCGGCGTCCCAGGGGCAGCCCAGGAGCCCGCTCCCCCAGCTAGTGGGGGAGGTCCCCCGGGCCCCGGCTACCAGAGCAGGTATTGGCTAAGCCCAAGGCGCTGGCTCCCAGCCACCCTGACTCCGATTCACAGCCTGTCATTAACTCAATGAAAACGCTGCCACTTGGCTAACGGGATGAATTAAATCCAGTTGCCGAGCCAAGTTTCACTTCGCTGCTTTCCAGCAGCTTCCTGCTCCCGCTGCTCAGCCAGGACGGGAGGAGATGCAGGGCCGGGGGGAGGAATCGCTCCTTCAAGGGACAGCGCCCGGAGCTGCCTCTCCTGGCAAACTCGCGCTGTTTGTGGATCCGTCCCGAAAAGCCAGCGGCGACTGGTTTGTGGCTGTTATCCGGAGAGCAGGAAATGCCCCCCAACTTGGGCATGGCCTCTGAGCGCCAACTGCAGGGCCTGTCGGCTCTTTCGGATTCGCTCCCTCTGCCTGGCACCCCACCCCGTGGCACTGGCCTACGTGGCAGGCCCGATTGCCTTGACTTCCCTGGAGCCGGAGCCGCTTGCACCCGCAGTGAATTTGGCCCGCTATTATAGCTCGTAAATCCACGTTGTCGGCGGTTCTCCTGCGGATTACCCTGCCCCGCACAGACGAGCTCCCCACTAAGCCCAACTGAGCGGGGATTAGCAACTTGGTTGCAAGCCAGGCTGGAGGGGCGGGGGGGCCGTTCCCGTCCCACCGCAGCTCGGGGCCTGGCGCGGATTCGCCGCGCCCATAGGCCTGGCTGGGGCGCGGTCTCGGCTGAGAGCTGAATGGCCCAAGTTGCAAGGTCAAGGTCAAGGTGGATGCCCCTGGCTCTGGCTGTTCTGTGGCCCCAGTTGGCTGCCAGTGCAGCCCCATTCCCAGCAGTGCCAGGAACGCTGTCTGGCTCGCCGGGCCCCTTCCCCAGAGCCATCTGCTTTGCCCCACCCCGGCCCCCCACCCCCCATCACTCCATGGCGCTGCCCCCACAGCCCAGCAGCCAGGCGCCCTCCCTTACCTGCTTGGACGGGGAGTAGGAGCAGCAGGAAAGTGGCCCAGCTGCAGCCCCCTCGCCGGGGCACGGCCGGCCTGGCCCCCAGCAGCCCAGCCATGGCTCTGCCAGCGCCCGGCAAAGGGAATCAGCCCGGCACTGAGCGGGTGATGTGCCGCCCTGACTCTTTATGTAGGACACTGACCCTCCCAGCCCCGCGCCATTGATTGGTGGAAACGGACAACAGCTGTTACCAAGGAAACCCCTTCAGATGGTGAATTGATTCCTTTTCAGCACGGTGGCGCGCCCGCCCGCCCACCCGCTGGCAGCTCATCCCCGGGGTGGCTGGGCCGCCCTGGGCGCCCCACCCCCCGCCAGCACCAGGCAGCCCACGTGTGTTCGGGCCACGAAACGTCCCTGCGTGTTCCCACTTGATCCCACTCTCTGCGCTCGACGGGCGTGGGCACAGCTCGCACGGGCAGCCCCGCTGGCTTGGAGGGGCTCGTGCCCGTCTGCACCAGGGTCACGGGGCAGCACAGTCAGCAGAGTCACTCCGGATTTACACCGGGGTCACGGGGAATCGGCCCCATCGGAGTCAGCGGAGTCACTCCGGATTTACACCGGGGTCACGGGGAATCGGCCCCATCGGAGTCAGCGGAGTCGCTCCGGATTTACACCAGGGTCAGGAATTGGCCCCCCCCATGGCAGCTGACCGTTTGCCCGGCGCCCAGCACGCTGGTGTCACACGACACTCTCCTTCCAGGACCCTGGTAGGAAGGGCCTGGGCCGTGCAGATGGGTCTCCTCGCTGCACACCCGGGAGAGGTGTGCCTGATGCCAGCCTGCCCGGGTGATGGGCACTAGCTGCTGACACAAGGTGTTTGACCTTCCTGTGAGCGTGTCCTGCTGCAGCCGGAGCGGCTGGCAAAGCGCAGCCGGTCGATCGTTTGGGCCTGGGCTGCCAGGACACTGATCACGTGTCCTTGCTTCCCCCCGTTGGACGGCAGAGCTCGGCACTGGAGGCTGGCGCCAGCAGCCGTGATGGCGCTGCTTTCTCCCCGGCATCGGGGCGGGGCTTTGGTGGCTAATCTGAAAGTCCAGGTCTCCAGATGTCTACAGAGCTCAGACAACGGCCAGCCCCACTCCAGTGCCCAGGAGACCCCACACTACTCAGCCCCCTTCATTCCCTCCAGCCCTCACAGCTAACTGTCCCCATCTGCTCCGCCCTGGGAGACCCACTGGCCCCGTCTCCCCCAGCCCAGGCACTGTAACCCTCTCCCCACCGTCTGGGGCAATGGGGCAGGCACCTTATCTGAAAAGCACTTTGTGTGCTGTGAGGGCCAGCTAACGAACCGGTATCACTTTACCTGGTGGGGCTGCTAGCTGAGCAGGGAGGGGGCCCCCTCCCATCCTACTTAGTTCTGTGTATTACGGGAGCAAACTGAGACCGAGGCCCCGTTGGGCCGGGCACTGCCCCAAAGAGCTCTCAGCCTGAGCCAAGGTGGGAGGTGGAGAGTCATCGAGTCCAGGGCCAGACGGGACCGTTGTGGTCATCTCGTCTGAGCCCCTGCAGAGCACAGGCCAGAGACCTGCCCCACAACAATCCCTCGGGCAGAGCTTTGAGGAACATGTCCCATCTTCATTGCAACATTGCCCGGGAGGGCGAATCCACCAGGCCCCTTGGGGAACTGTTCCTGTGCTTAGTTACTCTCACCGTTAAAAACGTCCACCTTATTCCCAGGCTGACTGGGTCTAGCTTCAGCGTCCAGCCGCTGGACGGTGTGAGACCTTCCCCTGCTAGAGTGAAGAGCCCGTTATCCAAGTTCCCCAGGTCGGTACTTCCAGACTGGGGTCCAGTCCCCCCAGAACCGTCTCTTTGTTACGCTAAATCAACCGAGCTCCTTGAGTCCGTCACTACAAGGCAGGTTTTCTAACCCTCTGATCATTCTTGTGGCTCTTCTCTGCCCCGTCTCCGATTTATCCGCATCCCTCTTGAATTGTGGCACCAGAACTGGACACAGGATCCCAGCAGGGGTCGGACCAGTGCCCAGTACAGCGGTGACATAACCTCTCTGCGCCTCCTCCAGATTCCCACTTGTGCATCCCACGAGCCCGTCGGCGCTTTTGGCCAGTGTCGCACCGGGAACTCACGTCTGGCTGATTCCCCCCCCCCCCCCCCCAAATCTTTTACAGTCGCTGCTCCCCCGGGCAGAGCCCCCCAGCCTGGCAGCATGGCCAGCGCTCTGTTCCCGGATGTGTACAGTTACAATTCTCCTTATTAAAACACCCATTGTTTGCTTGTGCCCAGGTTACCAAGCGATGCCGATCGCTCTGTCTCAATGACCTGGCCTCTTCGTTATTTCCACTCCCCCAATTTCTGTGTCATCTGCAAACTTCATCAGCGATGAGTTTCTGTTTTCACCGCGGTCATTGGTAAAAATGTTAAATAGCGAAGGGCCAAGAACCGATCCCTGCGGGACCCCACCGGAGCCACGCCCGCTCCATGGCGATTCCCTGGTCCCAGTTACATTCCAAGCCTCTCAGGTTGCCGGCTGTTAATCCCGTTCAGGGGTGCCCTTGTTCCAGTTTTTTAATACAAACGATTCTGCCCATTTTACAGATGGGGGAACTGAGGCCCGGGGCGATGCAGTGATGTGGCCAAGGTCACACAGGGAGTCTATGGGAGAGCAGGTGCCTAGCCCGGTGCCTTATCCACAAGGACACCCTTCCTCCTGGCTCAAGGGGCCCCTGTTTTGCCCCCACCCCCGCCCAGCCCAGCAGGATCAGCAGAATGTGCCTTTGCTGGCAGTCACGTGGGGCTGGGGACGGGAACAGACAGCAGCTTCAATGGTTCGCACACGCACCCCACTCCCCCAGGGCACTGCTCGAACAGCTGCTGTGACCTTCCTCGCTCACAAGCAGCCAGTCCAGGCCGGTGCCGTGGGACGGGGGGGGGAGAGATTAGCCCGTTCCCATGTATCGAGTAGCTGTCGGGGCTGATGGGATTAGAGCTGGCATCTGCTTCAGTGCGGCTTTTGTCCGAAGCTGCCAAGTGAAGTGAAAACCCTGCCCGGCTGGTGTGCGCTTCACGCCTGGCTCCGCTGCCCGCTCACTCCCCCCTTCCTGCCCCTCCCCACGCTGGCCACCAGCCAGTTGTTTCTCCGGATCAGTAACAGAAGACAATGGAGCCCTTGGCCAGCCTCTTATGGCCCCCTCCCCTCCCGGCCGCCGTGCAGAGCAGGCACAATGGCTCTGCCAGGCCTGCCCAGATTTCACCACCCCAAGTGCCAGCCAGTCCCTTTCACCCAGCTCTGACTTTTGGCAGAGTCCCTGACCCTGAGCGGCAATTAAAGAGCCCGCGGCGTCTGAACCCCTGCGTTCCGGCCAGGCTCCCGCTAGCCGGACGTCACCCTGCGGCTCTGCTACTCTTCTCCGGGCCCCGTCCAAAGTGACTGGGCGTTGCCACGGGTGCTGCGCTCCACCCCAGAGGCAGCCAAGCGCGCGGCGTGGGGAGGGGGGGTTGGCAAGCACCCTGGGATAAGCTGTAAGCGCGAGTCCTTGTTGCATTTACGCTGAGAGGGGCGCCTTTTGGGGTCCTGGACGTATCGAACCCCCCCCCAGACGGACGGTGAGTTAATTCCGCTGCCTTGGAGCTTTGCAGAAACTGCTGCCCACCACGGGCTGGGGGCCCAGACTCACCTGGGAAATCCACCTGGACTCAGCTGAGTTGCATTGGAGCAGGGATCCCCTAGGTGTAAAATGCAGGGTCAATTGTGGGAGTCCTGGGCCAGGGCAGAGGGGCCTGACCCGCTTTCTGCTGCATGTGGCTGGCGCCGCTCACAGGAGCGAGGTATATTCTGTAACTCAGCCCACGGCAGCGAGGCCCCGTCCACGCACTCACACTGCACCCGTTGAGTCAACGCTGGGATATGGAGCTCGGTTAGTGAACGGGGCAAAGCCCTGGCTGGCCGCTCTCACTTTGGGTCCACGACCAGCTTGTTTCGGTTTGCTCTAAACAGATTGCTCGTCGGCTCACCACTGAAATCCGCCTGTCCACCCAGGCCCAGCCGCCGGCGCCTCTAACTCAGTTTCCAATCAGACCTTTAGGGCACTCGCAGCAGCTTTGTGGTCTAGACCAGGCCGAAGGGAATCCGGATTCTGCACCCGCGATTCCTGCTCTGAGCCTGCAGGGCCCTGAACGCTGGCTAGCACCCGGTCCCGGCAGCCCTGCTTCATCCAGCCTCAACAAGGAGACCCGCTGGAGCCCGTGAGCTGCTGCTGCTCTCCGAGTTCTGCCAGGCAGGTGGGAGCTCGTCTTGGGGTGCCCAGGGAGTCTACGGCACCATCTGCAGGTCAGGGGGGACCCTCTGCTCCCAGCCTCCAACGTGCCCAGGGGTCTGTATGACCAGGGAACCCCGCAGGCCCTCAGCACTGGACAGCAGGGCCCAGCCTCTGGGCACAGGGTGAGGCTGCATGAAAAGGTGTGACCCAATGGCAGGAGATGGAGGGGGCCCTGGCAGCTGGGGTGGGCAGCTGGTCTCATCCTCCTGCTCTGGGTGGCACTGCCCCATGTCCCCCCAGCTGCCTCGGAGCGCTCCAATGCAGAGCAGGCAGCGTGAATTCCCCGTTAGCCCTGCTCCGTCCCCCCAAGACCTGTCAGTCCTGGGCATCCTTGGAGGCTTTAGATACAGGGCTGCCAGATGTTTTGCTAGTGCAGATGTTGACATACTTCCTGAGTATCTGGCTGTCTGCCCTGGGGCTCGGGGAGGGGACCCCGCTAAGCTGCAGTGGGAAGATGGATTGTCAGCTCCTAGCCCAGGGCCTGTCACAGCTTCCTGTTGTGGCTGGTCCCCTAGGGGGATAAGAGCCTACAACCGCTGCCAGGTAACAGGGTCGCTCCTCTGGCTCCGGTGTGCGAGGCTCCTGCTGTTTGAGCGGCAGCCCCAGGTTTAGTCTGCTGCTGGGGGTCGTTTTGCTTTGAACAGGAACGGCGCAGGAGGCGTGTGGCGGTGCCAGTGCGCGGCTGGAAGGAAACGCAGCGAAGTCATCAGTTCAAAGGCAGGGCCAGATCTGGCAGCGCTACTCACAGGAGTAAATCTGCTGCAGCCAGGGCCTGGTTCAG